ACATCTTCTGCAGTTGCAGGGGAAGGTGCCGTGGAGATGTGGGGAGGTATTGAGAGTGGAGGATGAGTGGACCAGAGTGTCCCGGAGGAACGATCCCTGCGGAAGGCTGATAAGGAAGGAGAGGGGAATGTGTGTCTGGTGGTGGCATCCCACTGGAGGTGGTGGAAACGGCAGTTAATAATGCCTATTGCTGCTGTGGGAGGGAAGGGGGTTGGGGTGAGGGTGAAGTGTGGGAGATGGGTTGGACCCAACAACGGTGCTGGGGAATCCTCAGTTGAAGAAGAAGGAAGACATTTTGGAGGCTCCCTTGCCGAATTTGGCATCATCAGAACAGACGCAACAGAAACAGAGGGACCTATACTTGGGCTAACTGTGGGAGTTGGTGAGTTTGTTGTGGGAAGTGGGGAGTCTACAATCTGCAGCTGCAGGGCCACATGTCAATCTTCAACAGCTCCCCCTTTACCAAACTTCTCCAATTTAACATCTACATGAAAATAATAATATCATTTACATGAAAACATTAATATAAACAATTCAAGGAAACCAAAAACCATGTTTTCATTGAGAGGGTAAGAAGCTTAGCATTTTCTGCTCTTGACAAATGACAATGTAAATGAAAGGCACTGTGATGTTCTAAACGACCCTGTGTGAGGGACACACCACTGTTATAAATAAATTTGAACACCAGGTTCTGTGGTTCTTATTGTTCTTAATAAAGCAGAGATGGTAAATTATTCTGAATGTTCTATTGGAAGCTATTTTTAATCACAAAAGTCAGTAACTGACAAAATTATCTTTATTCTGCACATCATAATCTATAGTTTATTTTAAAGTTAGTCAAAAATCCCAAAAGTCCAGTAATTCAGAATTGGGTCTGTTTTAATTTTGTTTCATTTTCTATAAATAGATAAACTCAATGCACAGGTTTTTATTATGTTGTATGCAATTGGACAATCTACCAGAGACATTTGGCAATTAGTAAAGTATTGGCTCAGATGTGTCAATTTTTTATTTTGCAAATCCCAATTCATAGAATCATACAGTACAGAACAGAACTTTAAGCCCATTGAATCCATACTGTCAAAGCTACACTAACCCTACTTTCAAGCACTACTCCCATAGCCTTGGATGTTATGACATTTCAAGTATAATTGTTGTATTGAAGCATTTATTTTAAAAGATTTTTACGGTACACAAAGGCTTTCAGTCCCTAAAGCAAGGATTGGAAAGATTTGCTTGATGGCAGGCCAAGCACCAATCAGCAAAGAGCCTGAGCTTCAGCAAGACTCTGAGAGGCTCAAGTCTAATTTCCAACAAAGATGCTGCACACCAGCACTGGCCTCAGCACCAGGAATGAACAGGGACCATTGCTTTAATCACTTTATGTATATGACTCCATCTCCCTTAGCACTTGTTACATTTCCTCAGATTGTGAGAGTAACTGGGCCAGATCTGGTGCTATGATCAAAGAAAACAATATATTTTCTGGGAGGACAATTACAATCCCAGATTCTTGCCAAAGATAGATTTTGGTAAATAATGATTAACAAAAGAAGGACCTTGCTGTTAATCAGCAGCTACTTTTGATTTGGGCCAGATTACATCCACTGCAGTTAAATAAACACAACTGGAAATGGTTGCTGGAAGATTCATTCATTTTGAGTCAAATGATTCATAATTAAATCAAAGATTACAAACAGTTTGAGAATTCTTGAACGTAAACATTGTATGCCATTATACTTCAGAAATGTTCAATCCCTTTTGTTTTTATTTACCCTTTCTAAGTATAAGCTTTCTGCCTAGTCCATCATTCTTTGCATTTTCCCTTATGGACAATGTGGTAAATATTGATTATGGGGTTAGAGGAACAACCCAGATATCTCATTGTGGTGCGTTTTGTTATTGAATTCAATAAATATGCAATTTCTGGGCTATCACCAGAATAAAATTCTTCTGCAAGTTATTGGATGATTTTAAACAGCTCTCAGGGTAGAGTACTCACGTTCAGTACCAGGGTCATCCAAACAATCTACATGTTTGGACCGAAACAGGCTTGGAACAATAGCCTGTTGTTCACTGCACAGTTTTTATTTTCCATTGATTTGGAAAATATTGTTAAGATTTTGAATTTCAGTCTAAGTAAAAGGAACAGCAGACTAGGAAACAAGCTTACAAAAAGAGTTGAATTATTGTTCTAAGAACTTCAATGGAAAGTTAATCAGATCCATTGTAAAAATTAATTTCCCTTTTACGACAAGTCCACTTTGGTTCCCAGCATAGACCAATTTCACCTCTTGTCAACCTAAAAAGAGTCCTGGGAAATGCTATTAAATCTTGACATGGGAACTAGAAGATGGGAAATAAATAGAAAACCCAACCATTAATTTTCCCTTAAGATGTTAAAATGTCCCCAGCTGTTTGACTGGGCCACTCTGATATGATGGCAAAGTTTAAGAAGCATTTGGACAGAGAAAGGAACAGGCAGAGAATACAGAGAGATAGACCATGTGCAGGCAAATGGAATTAGTTTAGAATAGCACCATGTTCGGCACAGACATGATGGGCTGAAGGGCCAGTTCCTGTGCCGTACTGTTCTATATTCTGTGCAAATCAGGTCCCAAATTGAAATCTGCTTGATAGATCATAGTTTGTTATTTTCTTTACTTGACAGGATGGGCTTTCACGAAGACATAAACACGCAATGTTACAAACCTCACTAGGGGCTTTAGTGGTATTATCGCTGGGCTGTTAATCCAGAAACCCAGATAAGCATCTCAGGAACTGAGTTTGAACCCTGCCACGGCAGATGGTGGAATTTGAATTCAATAAAACTCTGGAATTAAGAGTCTAACGATGACCATGAAACCATTGTCAATTGTCAGGAGAAAAACCCATCTGGTTCACTAATGTTCTTTAGGGAACGAAACTACTATCCTTACCAGGTCAGGCCTACATGTGACTCCAGCCCAAAGCAATGTGGTTGATTCTTAACTGCCCTCTGGGCAATTAGGGATGGACAATAAATGCTGCTTGGCCAGTGACATCCCTCATCCTGTGAATGAATGAAAAAGAAATCTGATTTTGATAATAAAACAAGTTTGTTACGAAAAAATCTAAAAAAGAATAAACTAAGCTATTTAGCTTTAACACAATTTAAAATATTTCAAAACATTTGCAGGATTCCAACACTGTTTCTTTCAATGCCTAAGCTGTCTTGGCTTCTTTGATTTCTTAACCAAACACTTCTGGTCTGGAATTTACAAATCAAAACTGTGGTGACCTATTTCCTAACTGTTCTTATTAATTCCTTTTTTGATGAGAAATGTTCTTACATCTAACCCCAGTCAGGTCTTCTCCAAAGTACCCCAAAAGCATTCTCAATCTCTGGGATTTTCTAAGCTAACGTCAATTTTGATCATTTTAAACCAGAAAACAACAAGCTAATGAAATTCCATGTTTGCTCTCTACAATCCTAAAAACCCTCACAATATAAACAAATTCTCATTATCATTCCAGGATAGCCACCATTCAGCTACTTTCTGACCCAAAAAAGGTTAAAGAACTGGCCTCTCTCCAATTAGCTCCTACTTTAAAATGAGCTTGTTGTCAGGATGTAGTGAGTTCTGGCAAGTCTGCACTTATTGTCCATTTTTAGCTGCTTTCAGAAGATAGTGATGGGCCTTTCTCTAGAACTACTGTGATCCTTGAGCTGATGGTGCTTTCAGTTACAAATTGACTGTGGAAATGTGAATTCAGCCAAGTGTAAAGGATAGAATATTTTGTGCCCTGTGGAATTGGATTTGGAGGTGGGATATATGAGGGAAATTGGGCTGAAGTGGGTGAGATAGCCAACAGAAGGAGACTCCACCATTGTTGGTTGTTGTTGTCTTTGTCTCAACCTATTCTTGGGCTTGTTGTATTGCCAAAGAATATCTACAGAGTCAAGTGAAGACATGAAAATTTATTTACAAACATGACTAAAAGTAACAAGATCTAACAAGGATCTAGACAAGGGTGTAAGGGAAGAAGATCATGATCACATGACCCTGTATCACTTCCTGTGATGATATATTATATCTCCTTTACACATAATGCAGTAAGCCCTTGATATTACAGTGACCATGAAGCTTGATTCTGTACTGGCTCAATAGAAGAATAATTCATCTAGTTTCATATCTCATTGATGATATCTTCTTTAGATACTCATCTAATTCACTTTTGAAAGTCTCAATTAAACCTGCATTTCCCACAACCTCAGGCAGTACGTTCCAGACCCTAACCCCTCGAGTGAACCTGCCTCCCCCCACACCCTCAGGCAGTACGTTCCAGACCCTAACCCCTCGAGTGAAACTGCCTCCCCCCACACTCTCAGGCAGTACGTTCCAGACCCTAACCCCTCAAGTGAACCTGCCTCCCCCCACACTCTCAGATAGTACATTCCAGACCCTAACCCCTCGAGTGAACCTGCCTCCCCCACACTCTCAGATAGTACATTCCAGACCCTAACCCCTCGAGTGAACCTGCCCCCCCCACACTATCAGACAGTACATTCCAGACCCTAACCCCTCGAGTGAACCTGCCTCCCCCCACACTCTCAGACAGTACATTCCAGACCCTAACCCCTCGAGTGAATCTGCCGCGCCCACAAACTCAGACAGCACATCCCTCACCTGTCACTCTGTAGAGAGGAATTTTCTTGTGATGTTGTGTTTCTTTTGCCAATCACTTTGACACAGTGACCTCTGGTCTTTGATTCTTCAGATGAATGGGAACAGTTTCTCCCGTCCCGCTCAGTCCAGGTGTTCCATGATTTTGAACTCTGAAAAATGAATAAATAAACAGGTGGATAAATTCTGAGAGCAAAGATTCTGCTCTCCCTCTGCCCATTGGAAAAATGAATACGTTTTGCCTGATGCAGATTTTGCCTTTGTGTCTGATATTTGCTTTTCCTGTACAATAACACTTTCCATTGCTCTGAAGCCAATCTTCTTTGTTTCTAGATGTTTCCACAACGGAAGTCTGGACCGAGTCGAGTTGTTCATATCTGTAATCTTCCTGAAGGAAGCTGCACAGAGAATGATGTCATTAATCTTGGACTCCCGTTTGGAAAAGTCACCAACTACATCCTCATGAGAGCCACAAACCAGGTGTGAACAGAGTTTCGCCAAATGTTACGTGAATTTTTGTCATCCTGAATACACTGCTCCTTGAGCGGTGCTCCAAACTAAAGCCAGGCCTTTGTGATACTAAAGCTTTTCACTAGGAAAGTCAATAAAGTTGCTCAGAATTTGCAGCCAGAAGCCGTCCATTTGGCCCAGCTGTTGTTTATCGGATTAATGCTGCATTTGAGACTGCACCCAGCCTTTCTCATTGAACCCTGTCTCCATAAGCATCTACTCCTTTATCCCGGAGTGCTGCAGAATAAAGCCCACAGCTCGCATTCACCCTGGTACCAGCTGTGGTAGCTCATGGGAGCCCTGTCACTTCACCTTCCCCCACTCTTGCGCAGTAGTTACATTCAGTTGGCTCACTATCACGGAGTGAGATACCTGTGGTCCTTTATTGACCGTGGCACCTTCGCTGCTCTTTCTCCTTCGTGTACTCATCTACTTTTTCTCAAATCCATCTATATCCCTCAGCGACCTTTTGTGTTGCAAGTTCCTTATTCTCATCATTCTCAGTGGAAAGGAATGTATCCTGCATTTTCCATTAGTGACTACCTTTGATTTATGACTGTTTGTTTTACACTAGCCCATTTGTGAAAGCATCCACTCCACGCCTACCTTATCAAACCCTTTCATTAATTTAAAGACATCTACTCAGTCACTTTTCAATCCTAGATAAAAGAACTCCAGCTTGTTCAGTCAGTTATTTGAGAGCTTTAGAAAGTGAGGAAGCAGCTTTAAGGCTCCTATTTCTGGGCACCATTGCTCCACTAGAATCCTGGCTACATTGGGCCAAAGAGTGACAATGTGGAGAGCTGAGGTATCCCTCAGTGCCCAGCCTGATACCCAGCTACTGGCTCTGACTGGACGGCAACTATCCGAGGGAAAAGCTTTCCTTTATCTATTAGCTTGAAGTGTTCACAATAGAATCCCTACAGTGTGGAAACAGGCCCTTTGGCCCAACAAGTCTACACTGACCCTTGGAGCAACCCCTATAACCCACCTAAGCTACACATTCCTGAACACTACAGGCAATTTAGCATGGCCAATCCACCTAACCTGCACATCTTTGGATTGTGGGAGGAAACCGGAGCACCTGGAGGAAACCCACGCAGACACGGGGAGAATGTGCAAACTCCACACAGACAGTCGCCCGAGGGTGGAATTGAACCCGGGTCCCTGGTGCTGTGAGGCAGCACTGCTAACCAATGAGCCACCGTGCCGCTCTTCTGTTTCCTTTTAACCCAGATGAAATTTGATCATGAACTTCCAAACACATTAAATTTACGTTTTATTTTAATTACATTGCCAGTGTGCCCTGTGGCCTGGGCTGGTATGCCCTCTGTCCCTGTGTGCCATGCTTCACTCTGGCAGCTCTCCCTTGTGGCCTGGTTGAATCTGGGAGTTCCCAGAGTGGGGGGATTTACAGGATACATCAGTGTAGAGTGATGCAGAACAGCGGCTCCAATGGCTCTCGGCTGATCCCGTTTCATTGATTTACAGGCCTTTTTGGAGATGGCATATCATGAGGCAGCTCAGGCGATGGTGCAGTTCTATCAACAGAAACCTCCAGCCATCAATGAGCAGCAAGTGCTTGTCCGTATGTCCAAACAGTACAAAGAACTCAAGCTGAAGGTAAGTTTACATTGAAACACACAATCAGACCATTAAAAAGCGAATTAACATTAGCAGTGGCGTAAGGCAGATGACATTGATCAAGCCAAGGTTCAGTGCAGCTGAGTCTGGGTTTAACAGAAGGCTTTATAGGAATGCAGGAAGATGGCAAACTCAGGTGTGTGAACATCTGAGAGAAGGCCCCCACATTTCAGGAGGAAAGGATCCAGTAGCTGAGGGTTCCTGCCCGATCTTGTTGAATTTTCAGGGAAAATGAGAAGGGACAAGAACAAAACTTGCTTAAGAACATGCTCCAACAATTCTCCATCTAAACAGGGAGGCAATAGCCTAGTGGTATTATCGCTGGACTGTTAATCCAGAGACCCAGATAATATTCTGGGGACCCAGGTTCGAATCCTGTCACGGCAGATGGTGGAACTTGAATTCAATAAATATCTGGAATTAAGAATCTAGTGATGACCATGAATTCATTGTCGATTGTTGGAAAAACTTATCTGGTTTACTAAAGTCCGTTAGGGAAGGAAACTGCCATCCTTACCTGGTCTGGCCTACATGTGACTCCAGACCCACAGCAATGTGGTTGATTCTTAACTGCCCTCTGGGCAATTAGGGATGGGCAATAAATGCTGCCTGAATAAAGAAAACAAAACTTATCAGGGTCATACCCAGATATGTACCCACCTCCACTTTCTGTTTGCGAGGACTGCCAGTGGTCAATGTGCCAGTGGATAATCCCCAATGGTCAATGTGCCCGTGGATAATGTACCAGTGAATACCCCCCCAACGGGTAATGTGCCAGTGGACAATGTGCCAGTGGATAATCCTCAATGGTCATTGTGCCAGTGGATAATCCCCAATAGTCAATGTGCCAGTGGACAGTGTAACAGTGGATAATCCTGAATGGGCAACATGCCAGTGGACAATGTGCCAGTGGTCAATATGCCAGTGGATAATCCTCAATGGCCAATGTACCAGGGGACAATGTGCCAGTGGATAATCCCCAATGGTCAATGTGCCAGTGGTCAATGTGCCAGTGCAGTTTAGAAGCAGATGCAAACCAAATGAATAAATGTTACAGCATATTTCCCTCAATTGTACCTTCAGAAATTGGCTGCTAGGTAACATTTGTTTGATTCAGTCTTCCTGTGTTCGTCTGATGATGGGGACAGTGAGAGAGGATTTATTTTTTGCATGTTGGGGGTTGCACACGCACTTTTCTAGTGATGGCCAAGCCTACACAATACATTATACAGTGTGGCTCCAGAAAGCTGCAGATCACAGTGGGTAGCTCAACGGGAGTCTATGGCGAAGCTGCAGGATCACCCCCCCAACACCCAGCAATCTTTAAATGACCTAAAACCCAGAGGATATACTGGTGTCTGGGGAAGTGGAGGCTCCTGCCCTGTCCCTTTCGAGATGTCAGCATGGACAGGATGGGGAGAGTGGCCTCCTTCTGTGCTGTATCATTTCTGTGGTTTGATGTGCCCCTCTAAATCAGCAGAGATAGACAAACGAGATATAAAGGGATGAGACGAGGGGACTAGGTATATTTGGAGTTTAGGGAGATTGCTACTAATAGTGCCTCTGGATTAGGTGTCAGACAGAACATTCCCCATCGGTCTGGATGCCACATGTTGTTTCTCCCTTGCTACCAATCAGTTTATCAGAAGCTGAACTCACTGCCTTCTGGGGAGGGGAAGTAGCCCTGTCACTGCCACCTGTTTAATATTAAATACAACTATAGCTCTATCACTCACCTTTGGGAGTCCCTGCTTGGGTCATGTTCTGCATTTGGATCTAATCCAGAATGGAGAGAAATCTGCCAGGCCTCATTCAGAGCTCACTCTACTGCTCTCTTTATAACCTCACCCTCTTAAATCAGCAAATAAGCAGCAGAACTAATATTTTCCAACATGATTTACCCAGCGACAGTGCCTCCCTTCCTATTCACACTCGAACTTCACAATGACCAGAATAAATAGAGGCATCCTGTTGACTTCCCTTAGTTGTATAGTTACACAAAGTGATTACTTTATTAATTCAGCTACAAACTGAATGGTTGAGTTGTATAAAAGGCAGGGTAACTGAATGATAGTTACTATACTATAGTGTTTCTCCCTGTGACAGATCACTTTTAAAGTTTTAGCTTATGAATCAGTTATGAATCCTCTGTCAAAAACATTGGAGTAAATATTTTGATGTGACATTACATCCAGGGACACTGGGAAATGGAAACCAAGAGTAGGCATTTGGTCTTTCAGGTTTGTTCCCACCATTCAAGTAAATCATGGTTGATCTGCATTGTAACTTCTCAGATTGTCTTTGGTTTCAGAATGCTCAATGCCCTTGTTTCATATAAGTCTATCAATCTCAGCTCTGAAATCTTCAACAGATGTGCCCTGAACAGCTTTATTAGCCGCAATGCTTGATGCTTACCTCCACATGCTACATAGCAGACACAGAACTAAACCTTTTCTTTGTTTCTAAAGTAACTCATTAACACTGGTGCTTTGGGTTGGGATGATCAGTTGAGGTCTCTACTGTCTACCATTAACTGTTTACACCAAGATGTAATGGAGTCTGTAAGAGATAGTTATATCTGTGAAAAAGGTCATTTAAAATCAAAGTGTAATCGATAAGTTATCCCAAATTCTCTAGTATGAATTTTATTTTACTTTTGAACTGCACGGACAGTCCTAACAATTGTGTGGATTAATTGGGAATCATTTCGATTGATGCTTTGTAACACTGTGGCATTGTCAAAAGCTATTTAATCAGAGGATAACGGTTGGTGAGAAACAGTCCAGACATCGAGTCATATAGCACAGAAACAGACCCTTTGGTCCAATTCATCTGCACTGACCAGACATCCAATCTGGTTTAGTCCCATTTGCCAGCATTTGGTCTATGTCCCTCCAAACCCTTCCTTTTCATGTACCCACCCAGATGCCTTTTAAATGTTGAAATTTTACATGCCTTCAACACTTCCTCTGGCAGCTCGTTCCACACACACACCACTCTATGTGTGAAAATGTTACTTCTACAGTCCCTTTTAAATCTTTCCCCTCTCATTTTGAACTTATGCTCTCTAGTTTACCCCAGGAAAACCTATTCACCCTATCCATGCCCCTCATGGTTTTATAAACCTCTATAAGGTCACCCCTCAGCCTCTAGTGCTCCAGGGAAAATAGCCCCCACCCTATTCAGCCTCTCCCTGTAGCTCAAACCCTCCAACCCTGGCAACATTCTCTTAAATCTTTTCTGCACACTTTCAAGTTTAACAACATTCTTCCAATAGAAGGGCAACCAGAATTGTATGCAGTATTCTAAAAGTGGCCTCACTAATGTCCTGTTCGGCTGCAACATACATCCCAACTCCTATACTTAATGTTCTGACCAACGAAGGCAAGTGTGCCAAATGCCCCCTTCACCACCCTGTCTACCTGCAACTCCACCTTCGAGGAACTATGCACCTGCCTCCCCCACAGGTCTCTTTTTATTCAGCAACACACTCCCCAGGGCTCTACCATTAACTGTACAAATCCTTACAAAAACGCAATGCCTCACACTTATCTAAATTAAACTCCACGTGCCACACCTCAGTCCATTGGCCCATCTGATCAAGGTCCCATTGTACTCTGAGATAATCTTCTTTACTATACACTACACCTCCAATTTTGGTGTCATCTGTAAACTTTCTAACCATGCTACTTATATTCACATTCAAATCATTTAGATAAATGACGAAAAACAGTGGACCCAGCACCGATGCTAGTGGCACATTGCTGGTCATAGGCTTCCAACCTGAAAAGCAACCCTCTACCATACCCTCTGTCTCCTACTTTCAAGCCAACCCTGTATCCATATGGCTAGCTCCCCCTGGATCCTATGTACTAACCAGCCTGGCATGCAGAACCTTGTGGAATGTTTCGCTGAAGTCCATACAGACAATGTCTACTGCTCTGACTTCATCAATCTTCTTTGTCACCTCTTCAAACAACTCAGTCAAGTTAGTGAGACATGATTTCCCACACACAAAGCCATGCTGACTTTCTCAAATCAGTCCTTGCCTTTGCAAATACATGTAAATCCTGTCCCTCAGGATTCCCTCCAACAACTTCCCCACCACCGATGTCGGGCTCACTGGTCTATAATTTCCTGGCTTTTCCTTACCACCTTTCTTAAATAGCGGCATTACATTAGCCAACCTCCAGTTTTCCGGCACCTCACCCATGTCTATCAATGACATAAATATCTCAGCAAGGAGCCGAGCAATCTCTTCCTTCACTTCCCACAAAGTTCTGGGATACACCTGATCAGGTCCTGGGGATTTATCTACTTTATGCACTTTAAGACCTTCAGCAGTTCCTCCTCCGTAACATGGACACTTTTCAAGACATCGTTACTTATTTCCTCAAGTTCCCTAGCTTCTGTGTCCTTCTTGCACTGATGCACAATATTTGTTTAGTATCTCCCCCATCTCCCACAGTTCCACAGGATGGCCTTGTTGATCTTTAAGGGGCCCTATTCTCTCCCCAGTAACTCTTTTACCCTGAATGTATTTGTAGAATTTCTTTTGGATTCCCCTGAAGGCTACTTGCCAAAGTTATCTCATGTCCCCTCCTGATTTCCCTCTTGAGTGTACTCCTACTGCCCTAATACCCCCCCAGGGATTCACTCAATCCCAGATGCCTATACCAGACTTTTTCTTGACCAGAGCCTCAATTTCTCTGGTCATCCGGCATTCCCTACAGCTACCAGCCTTTCCGTTTGCACAAACAGGAACATATTACTTCTGAACTCTTGTTATCTCTTTCTTAAAGGCTTCCCACTTTCCAGCCATCTCTTTACCAGTGAATAACCTGCCCCAATCAAAAATTTGAAAGTTTTTGCTTAATACTGTCAAAATTGGCCTTCCTCCAAAGCAGTACTTCAACTTTTTGATCATTTCTATCCGTTCCATAACTATTTTAAAACTAATAGAATTATGATTCCCCACT